TTGACAAGAACGTCTTAATCAAATTAACTATTATTAATTAAAGTGTAATAAATTTTTAATTCAATTTTATCATAAAAAAATAATTCATAAATTACGTAAGAATCAAATCATAAGATTAATTAAAGCGTGTGATTTGAATCAATTAAGCGCAAATCCTTTTAATTTGTACGTATTATTCAAAAATTTGAATCGATTAAGTTCAACCACTGACAAGAGCGTATTAATCGAGTTAACTATTTATAATTAAAGTCTGCTATCCTTTTAATTCAATTTTAACAAAAAAAAAATAATTTAATTCGTAAAATCGTAAGAATCAAATCGTAAATCGTAAGATTTAATCTAACAATGAACCGATTAAATCTTACGATTTTTACGAATTAAATTTTATTATTTTTTATGATAAAATTCAATAAACAAAGATACTAAACTTTAACTATACATAGTTTGATTAATACGTTATTGTAAATTATTGAGTTTAACCGATTCAAGTATTTGAATATTGTCTATGAATTGAAATGAGTTGAGCTTAATCGATCAAATCTTTGAATATTGTTTTTGAATTGAAAACACATGAGTTAATTGATTCAAATATTACGATTTAATTAAATCTTACAATTTACGATTCAATTCAAACTTCAAATTCTTTCGAAATTCATTTTTAAATTACACAAGTTGATCAACATTTCCTTAGATTTTTAAAATATATTATATAATGATTTGTTAGTATGGGATATTATGAATATATAATAATTATTATATGAGAATTAATAATTTATTTAACATTATTTATATAAGTTTTATAACCATTATAAATTGTAGCTTTGTGATATATATATATATATCCGTATTGTTAGTTTATTGTCAATTATGTGTTGTGTCTTAATGGTAAGTATTCTTGTATGTTTTCAGATGATCACTGGTTTGAATTCAGGTTGATGATTTTTATGAATAATGATATATTTGCATTAAAATAGAGAGGGTAAAATTGACATGTCATTAATAATTTATAATTGCCGATTTTTTTAAAATAATTATTGTACAAAGGGTATTTGCGACAATACATAAATGAGGAAAAAATAGGTTTTTTTGCTGGGACACTTGTCGCAATTTGAAGGGGGTATCTCATATAAATTTAGAACACATGATCTCATGGTAGAAACACCCTATTATTTATCTATAGTATGGAAAAAGAAAAGACAAATGACAAATAGGATAAGGGTGTTGTTATTTGTAGCGGGACTTTTACTGAAATTGACTTATTTACAGTGGAACTTTTTTCATTTAATTTTTTCTTTGAATTTCTCTCTCATATTCCCAAACTCTCTCTAGAAATTTGAATTTCGTAAATTTTTTTGACTTTGAAATCGTAGCAAACGAGGCTCGATTCCGGTAAATTTTCAATGTCCTACTACTTTTAATTAGTTTTATTTTCAATTTAGGTAAAAATACATGTTTAGGATTAGATCTAGCAAAATTTCGAAAGAAAAATAAAAATTTTGAAGCTCCCGTTTTCTGGAGCACGGAAACTCGAAGAAAAATTCAAGTTTCTGTGCTCTGCAGAACGGGAGATTCAAACAGCTTGAATCCTCCATTCTGCAGAGCACGTGAACTTGAATTTTCTACGAGTTTCCATGCTCCAGAAAACGAGAGATTCAAAGTTTCGTGCTCTAGAAAACGGGACCTTCAAACTGTTTTTTGAATTTTTATTTTCGGAAAAAAATAAAAATAAATATGTATCCCCCGTCCCGTAGAACACGGGAACTTGAAGATTATTCAAGTTCCCGTGTTCTGCAGAACGGAGGACTCAAAATTCTTGAAGCTCGCGTTCTGCAGAACACGGGAACTTGTTCAAGTTCCCGTGTTCTACAGAACGGGAGCTTCAAGTTTATTTATTTATTTAAATTATTATATCTAATTAGTTTGTTTATTTTTTACAGATAGCACGTCCGGACAAGGGGAAAGGGATTATGGGTGCTTCTTCGAGTTCGGATAAAGTTCCGAAGATTAAAGTTCGATATGGCGGGGAAGCCGAGCGCATTCGTATGACTGCATCTCAACCGGCGTAAGAGAGTTATTGAGCGGGGCACTGATTTACTCATCGTGGACGAGATACCCCACGTAGACCGGCGTTCGAGATCTATGGCCGGTAGCATTCAATCTTTAGGGGAAGATTCTCGTATCCCATACGAGGAACACGACGAGGAGCAGGACCCTGTGACAAGTGATTTTGATGATGTTCCCGTCACGGCTCCGCGCGCACGCAAGTGTGGTCGATACCTTCAGTGGGCCAATTGTGTTACATGGTCCGGCTCCAGGAGGACCGGTTGTTAAGGTATGATATCAATTTGGGGTAACAACCATAGCGTCTAACCATTTCCTTGTAATTCTCATAGTAATCTTCTTATGTTTTTTATTCCACTAATGTTGCCCAATGTCCGCGCCGGAATATAACCCCGTGTTTAGTACTACCAATAAATTTCGATGCATTTTTTTTCCACGAATATATTCATGTGAGACAAACACAAAAAATGTGCAGATTCTGGAAAAATTTGGGGCATTGCTTTAATGAGTCTCAACTCACGATCCATCAATTTCACATCAGGTATCAGCCCCCCAATGCACATTTCAAACAACTCAAAGCCCATGCATATGTGTCTGCATCTTCATGTGACATGAAAGCAACAACAATTGTAAAATTGTAACCAACAGGGGTGATTCCAACTATTTCCAGAAGTGGCATCTCATACCTACGTAAATACATAAATATCAAATGCAATCAATGTACAATAACCCAATACTAAATACTAATTAACAACATACCTATTGGTTTTGTAAGTGCAGTCCATCAATATAACGTGAGAGAATAACCTCAAAAGTTTCAGTGAAATAGGAGCGCCGAACATCAAATCAGTAAGTGTATCACCGGCTTCATTACTTCGATACTAATATTCATATCCAGATTCTTGAAGGTTCGACATCACGTGTTGTATGACAGTCTTCCCCGTTATATTCTCTTTTTTCATCTTCTCAAGTTGGTTATAGACATGTTTCACACTCGTCAATGTATGTGGATTATCCTTCGTCAATCGATCCATAATTAATGCCGACTTCACGTGGCTCCTTCTATGTAACTTCACTACCTCGTATTCTTCTGGTGTCAAACGACTATCCGATCTTTGTCCGGTAAGATACGGTAGCGTCGGGTGAGTGTGAATGTCATTTTTAAAAGTCATTCGACATAGTCCGTCCTATCGATTTCTGCTACAGTATATACGAAACGGACATCCACATTTCTTTGATCCCACATTTCGTTGCTTCACACCTTCGGTTCGTTTTGCACGTCATTTCCCATACACATGACATCTAATTACTACATAAACGTTTTTTCTGGCTTGAAGTTACTATCAATCGATGACCATAAGTAACAACCATTTTTTTGCCCATACCACTAATTATTTCCCAGTTTCAAACTCGACATCCATATTGAAATATCATAACACATGTTGAAATCCTCGTACTCGTTGTCATATTCAGTTCCAAACTCATCGTCAATATCACCTTCAATAGCGTACCAAAGTATAACAAATAATAATTAGTATATTAATAACACTATGAATAAAAAAAAAAAAAATAATAATAATAATAATATTGGAGTTCTCGTGCCCTAGGAGACGATTGTTCATGGTTCCCGTCCTCTAGGCACGGGAAACACATGTTTCCGTCTTCCCGGGCACGGGAACATGATGTTCCCGTTCTCCACAGCCCGTTTGTTCTATTGTTTTTTTATTTTATTTTTTGAATTTCCTGTGTTGTGTAGCATGGGAAATCCAAAAAAAATGGGTTCTCGTGTTGCACAACACGATAATACCGCAACAAAATAGAAATTTCACTAATTTCTTCAATTTTACCTGTACAAGTCGTCCGAATCGGTCATTATGTTATTTGTTGTCGTCGGGCAGTCGATTTATCAAACAAACACGAAATTCTTTTTTTTCGACTTTTTTTAGTTGAGAGCGTTTTGAGTTTTTTAGAAAGTTGGAACAAGTTAAAATGAAAAGTACCGCTACAAATAAGACAATTTCAGTAAAAGTCCCGCTACAGTTAGCATTTGAGATAGGATAGTGATAAGGGGCTTAAATGTACATAGCCTCACATAAAAAACAGTCTCATAAATATTATTCCTATATCTTTTTGTCTAAAATACCTATCATAATATGATTTTCATTAATTACATCCATTATACTCTAATTTCATCAATATTGCACATTGACACTGGATTTGAACAAATATATCACATTAGCCCTATTTTCATAATTCTTTTGAATTTTATGTTCCGGACAGATTCCGGCGTTGATTTCTTCTTTTAAAACTTATTTTTTTCTCTTTAAATTACTGTGTTAAAAACAAAATTATTGTTTGAGACAGTAATATTGAATGCCAAAAAAATAATATTACTAATATTATAGATAAAAGAAAAGATACTTCATTGTTTTTTTTTCTTTAATATATACTTCATCTTTACAACTTCTGCTTGACACAAGTTTAGTGTTTTTATGTTTGTATCTCCATCCTCAACAATTTTTTTAATGTAGGGTTGAGTTTCAATTTATAATTACTTTGTTGCCGACTGACTCCATGCAAGGAATTTCTTTCAAAATTACTATAGCCACTGTTATTATTATCCTTATATATACTCTCCTATTTTGCTGTTTCATCTTCACTAATCTATTTTTTCTTTAATTTGTGAATTCGTTCGTAATGTTTTTGTTGCTATTTAAGATATACTATTTTTTGCTACACAATATAATATATGTAAACTATTATTGTATTAATAATGTACAATACTCTTCTTTTAGTCTCTTGGATATTTTTTCCAATATATTATTTGGCCTTTTCGGTTGCAACCCGTGCAACTCACGGGGCACGGTTACTAGTTAAACTAAATACAAGAAATTCCATCCCTCTTGATTATTATTATGAAAATCCTATGCTCAAGGATTTCACTTTACAAAATTATTTAATTTTGAAATACAACTGCTATAGGACTTCTAACAGAGTATTCGGCTGTATGCCATCTAATAAATCCTTGTGTAGTATTATTCATCACTCCTTTGTTTGTTCTGGTGAATGTCACACTATAGCTCGATTTATCGCCCAACTTTGGAAACACGAGTTTCTGAGGTTCCACTTTCACAATAACACCATCGGGCGAAGCAATCTCGACAACATATGATGAATTAGCCTTGCCAACATTCGTCAATGTTCTCGTATAAGTTTGAGGAGTTGATCCAAATATTATCGAAAACGAGGGATAATTCAATTGTGCTTCAGGAATGCTCTTCTCTTCCGAGCAATCCACCTTACGTCCAACAATTATGCCGATTTCTTGATTCGTGTAATTCAAACCACACAAATAAGGAATATAATCATCGGGCATGATATCGTAAACCAACCCCGGATTATTTGCCCGTGAAGGATTAACATGGCCCGAACCAATAGCAAATACACTGGCGGGCTGCAATTGTTCATCCTCGATCGGTTTGCCTTCGAGGTTCACTGAATCGGCCGTGGTCATAATGGCGGACTTGATGGCGGCTGGCGACCAATCAGGATGCACGCTTTTGAGCAATGCTGCGACGCCACTGAGATGTGGGCACGACATTGATGTACCCGAGATCATGTTGAATGTCGGCGACTTTGTGTCGGTTTTACTATTGTCGACAGAAGCGGGCCAGGATGAAAGTATGTTAACTCCAGGACCGATAATATCGGGCTTCAAAATTCCAGGGCTCGGTACACTAGGACCCCTTGAGGAAAATGTAGCAACTACTGGAGCTCGATTGTTACCGATAACAGTTCCTTTAAACGACATTGTGGCTGTGGGATTCGAAGTTGAGTTTAGGTATGCTTTTAACTTAAGGCTATCGGCATAAGTGATTTGCATCGCCGGAAGGACGTGTGGCTCTTCGAAAGTTGTGTCCCCATCAAATTTATTGTTTATTAGAATCATAGCGGCGCCACCCGCACCTTTGACAGTTATTCCTTGTTGGACTCGAGTTACTAAGTACTTCATACCTTCGCACACAACTATCTTTCCTTTAATATCGGTGTTGAAATGGCCGTCAAAACAACGTGACATTCCGGTATCATTTGATCGAGGGTAAACGAGGTCTAACTTTCCGATGGCGGGGAAACCGGTACCCGTTTCGCCCTCTAATTCCTCCCCGTTTCCGAGGACTGCGTTGACCGTTATCTTCCGGTCAGTAGTGCTGGCCCCAACAGTCATGATCCACGGGGCCTCGTTATACAGAGTCTTGTTTTTTGGGCCGTCGTTTCCGGCGGAACAACTGACGACAATGCCCCTCTCCATGGCCCGGAAAGTTCCGATGGCCATAATATCATCGGCGAAATGTAAGTGCAATGCACCGCCGAGGGACATCGAGAGCACGTCGACGCCGTCCTCGATGGCGGCATCAATGGCGGCGGCTATACCACTGCTGCCGCAGTGGGAGCCCGTGCACGGTTGGTATATCGCCACGTGAGCGAGCGGCGCGGTTCCGGAGGCCGTGCCGCGGGCGTTGCCGTAGAAATCGGCACCACCGACGAAATTTCCGGCGGCTATTCCGGAGGTGTGTGTGCCGTGGCCGATTTGGTCGATCAGTGGTTGCACAAACAACGGAGGACTGCGGTAAAAGTACCTAGCTCCGATCAGCTTGTTGTTGCAGGTCCATCGGGGGGAAGTGAACTCGCATTTGCCCTTCCATTTCGCAGGCGGCGGCGGCACCCCTTGATCGTTCAACGAGGGGTGGTCCGGCGTGATTCCGGTGTCCACCAAACCGATGATAATTCCCTTGCCGTACGACGAGTTTTTCCATAGGCCCGTGTTTTGGTTCAACCCCAAGAAATTGGGAGAATGAGTGGTGTGCAGATGCATCATCCTTTCGGGCCGGGCTGAGATGAAACCCTTCTTCTTCCGCATTTCATCGACATGTGCTGCCGATAATTTGGCGGCGAAGCCCGAGAACACGTGGCGGTATCGGTACAATATTCTAGGCTGATCGTCACTGTTCGAGGCAGCAATTGTTGTTACGTTAGTATTCGTCGGCAAAAATGAATCGTAAAAAGTGTCAAGATCATCGGAGGAGGATTGTGAAGGATCAACATAGACTATGTATACACCAAGATTTTCTGCTTTGAGAAATTGATTTAAATTGAGAATGCAAATGATAAATAGAAATGAAGTGAACCCCATATTGAAGATCATATATATGTATTTTGATGGTGATGAAAAAATTAGAGATGGTTGGATTAGTTTACATAGTTCTACGGTCAATGTTTTTAAATTGAATTGGACTGCCTTACAAGTAAATAAATTTCTACGGTCAAACTTGATATTTAATTTCGGTTACAGAAATTTTTGTTTCTAATTCTATAGATTTTTTTTTAATTTAATATATATATCCATAACTCGTTTTCCATACATGTAATATATGAATTATTTGATTTTGAATACAAAGATTATGATTTCTATGATTACAGATTTTACGTTTATTATTTATAATAAGTAAGTAGATTCATTAATATAATATGCCCCGCAATAATCATAAGAATCTAGATGGTTTCGTCAAATTCGTGTTTTGACTAAACAGTTACGGGGATTTGGGTTTTTATTGGGTGAATTACGGTTTGCACCCTAGTTAATATTCATAATTTGGCGAAGTCCACCCTCCAATTACGAGTATTCTTTTATTAGAATTATATTTGATCACACCAAAGAAAACTTTCATTTCAAAATGCTATTAAAAGATGAAATTGTCACAATTAACCTTAAAATTTCGAGGGTACATAGTGCACTAATTTTTTTTTGGGATGCGAACTGCGAAAATGCTACATTATGTGGGTGCAAAGTGGAAATAAGACAAATATTTAATATAATTTATGTTATTATATTTTTAAATAGTATTAATTTTCTAATATAATTTATCTATAAAAAATATATTATAAAAATATTATTTGATTATTAGTAATTAATTAATTCAATTTTAATTTATTCTGCCATTGTGAACCAAAAGATCAACTGCAGCCGTGGATCGGAATACGCGGGTGTGCCGGAAGCACAGCTGAAGTATCCGTCGTTTTCCGTTATTCTTGGACATACTTGCCACGTGTATTCACGGACAACGACGAATGTTGGGGAGGCGAAATCGACTTACTATGTTTCAGGGATGAATGTAACTGTCGAGCCTACAATACTTAGCTACTGGGATCTATTATTGCCTGAATTTCGACTAAGCATATCGTTAGAATCCCGGTTTCCGTGAAATTGGTTCCGTGAGTTTGAATTACAATTTACAAATGTCTTATTCGCAACAGCAGAATATTACATATTGTTATTTAGAGTTAATTCATACTCCCTCCGTTCCAAAATATGTGTCGCTTTGGGTTGTTGCACACATATTAAGAAAATTAATAAATGTGTGTCGATTTTAGAGAAAAGTATATAGAATGACTAAAATATCCATGTTATTAATGTTGTTTAATTCTCAGTCAATTAATGAATAGTAATATGTGTAAAATTGAGAAAATAGTAATTAATGCTTCATTAAAATTCTAAAGTGACAGATAATTTGAAACAAGAAAAATCTCCCAAAGTGACAGTTAATTTGAAACGGAGGAAATATCAATTAATTACTTCCCTGCAAATTTAAAAAATTCTAAATACCAAACTCAAATTTTATTACAAAATTACAAATAACAAGCAAACAAAACGAAGAAACATGACTCCAATTTAATTCTCAAAGACTATATCATCCAATTACAACAGCTATTGGACTCCTAACAGAATATTTACCAGAATGCCACGTCACAAATCCCTGAACGTAATCATCGGTCGTCAACGTTCCACCGTCCGATCGGGTAAACGTCACGTTATAGCTCAATGTCTGACCCAATTTCGTAAAATCGAGTTTAACCGGTTCAACAACAACGGTAACTCCTTCCGGAGAACCGATTTCGACGTCATACGACGACTCGCACTCGCCGACATTCGTAACCGTCCTCGAATAAGTCTGAGGCGTCGATCCAAGAACAATCGAAAACGACGGATAATTCAGTTGCGATTCGGCAATTCTCGTTTCTTTCGAGCAATCCACTTTCCGCTGAACGATAACACCGACTTGACTCTCGGTGAAATTCATTCCGCACAAATACGAAACGTACTCATGCGGCTGAATATCGTAAACCAAACCCGGATCGTTCGCGCGCGACGGATTAACATGGCCCGCACCGATGGCAAACACGTCGGCCGGTTTAAGAAGTTCGGTCTCGATTGGATTTCCGCCGAGGTTGACTTGATCGGCCGTGGTCATAATAGCGGACTTTATGACAGCTGGCAACCAATCAGGATGCGCACTTTTGAGCAATGCTGCAACCCCACTGAGATGCGGGCACGACATTGATGTACCCGAAACCATGTTGAATGTTGACTTTGTGTCGGTTTTATTCTCGACGGAAACGGGCCAAGCGGCAAGTATGTTAACACCGGGCCCAATAATATCGGGCTTCAAAATTCCCGGGCTCAACAAGCTAGGTCCCCGGGAGGAAAATGCAGCAACTACCGGAGCACGATTGTCGCCTATAACAGTTCCTTTAAATACAATTGTGGCTATAGGATTGGGATTTGAACTTACATAGGCTTTTATTTTGAGGGCGTCTACGTAATTAACGTGGATCGCGGGGAGAACGTGGGCTTCGGCTCTCGTGGTGTCGCCTTGAGCTTGTTGATTCATTAGAATCATGGCGGCACCACCGGCGTTCTTTACTGCTTTTCCTTTGTCGACTCGCGTGCCCGTTCCCCCTATTTCGCAAAGCACAATCTTCCCTCTAACGATGTTTTCGTCCAATGCGCCCTCACCGCAGTACAAAGACATATTTGAAATTTGACCGGGAAAAACAAGGCCTAACTTTGTAGTGGAGGGGAAATCGTTCGGCTGGAAAGCTGTTTCGCCGTCGTATTCCTCGTTGTTTCCGAGGACAGCTGTCGCTTTTATCTTCCGATCGATCGTGCTAGCGCCTACGGTGAGAATCCAAGGCGCTTCGTTGGATAAAGACACGAGCGCGGGACCGTTGTTTCCCGCGGAACAGCTCACTACAATTCCCTTCTCCATTGCCCTGAAAGCGCCGATGGCGATATTGTCCTTATCGAAAGCGGTAGGAGAACCTCCTCCCAGGGAGATCGAAATTACGTCCACGCCATCTTCGATGGCGGCGTCCATTCCAGCCATGATGTCACTCTCCGAGCAGCCGGACGGGCTGCAAACTCTGTACATGGCCACGTGGGCGAGCGGGGCCATGCCGGCCGCGGTGCCGGCCGCGTTTCCGTAGATGTTCGCACCGCCGACGAAGCTTCCGGCGGCGGTGGCGGCCGTGTGCGTGCCGTGGCCTTCTTCGTCGAACGGGGTGGTCGCGTTTCCGTTCGTGAAGTACTTCGCGCCGATGAGCTTGTTGTTGCACGCGTTCTTGGAACCGAACTGGCATTCGCCTCTCCATTTGGGAGGCGGCGGCGGCATGCCTTCGTCGGAGAACGAAGGGTGGTCCGGCGAGATCCCGCTGTCCAATAGGCCGACGATGACGCCCTTTCCGTAGTTCGAATCTTTCCAGAAACCCGAGTTTTGGATCAACCCCAAGAAGTTGGGAGTGTGCGTTGTGTGTAGTGGAAACACCTTTTCGGGCCGGGCCGATACGAAACCATTCATCTGCCGCATTGCTTCCACGTCAGCTATTGATAGTTTCGCGGCGAAACCGGAAAACACATTCCGGTAGCGGTGCAATATTCTTGGCCGGTTATTATTATCATTGGCTGAGGCAGCTGCTGGATTCGTAGTCGTAGGCAAGAACGAATCGTACGAGGTTTCGAGGTTTTCGGATTGTGAAGGATCAACATGTACTATGTATACATCAAGATTTTCTGCATTGAGAATTTGATTTAAATTGAGAATGCAAATGATACATAGAAATGAAGTGAAACCCATATTTGCTGGAAATGAATTATTTTGGTGGTGATGAAAAGGTTATATATTATATATATATATATATATATATATATATATAAGGTTTGTGTGATTTTATTAAGGTATTTTCCGTACTTGGAATATATGAATCGTTACGTTTTTAATACACACGTTATGATTTTTATTATTACAGGATTTTATACCTTTGAATTTGTAATTAATATTGTATTTTGAACCGTACATGATTGAAATCATTATGAAGGCAATATTGAATATTGTAGTAAAATAAATTGAATATTCCTTGATTTATTCGAATTGCGTTGCGATTCCCGTATGTTTCCTTTCTTGTATCAATTTTCAATTTATATTATTCTTAGTATTATTGTTATATTTTGCTTGTTATTACTAGATGAGCAATCATTGATCTTCATTCCAAATGGGGTTTCCTATAACAATAAGTTATTTTATACTACAATTTTGAATTTGGATTTGATGTAAATTTTGAAATAAATAAATTTATAACGCCTCCTATTTGAACCGAATCAGATTAAACCTATGTAAACTAATTAATTTACTTGAAATTTACAAAATTATTTAATTTAGCGGGCTGTTAACAATCCAACATTAATGTTGTTTGGATTTGAAGCCCATCCTACGTTCGGTTATGGGGCGGGTTTTGTAATCTCCATCCCCGCTCCGCTATGGAAATCCACATCCCAATTCCGTCAAAATCTCCGAAATTTATAAAAAGAATCTCCATACCCGCCCCATAAAATCTCCATGGGTATCGGGGCGGGTAAAAATTCCCGTCTATTTTTTTTAATAAATAAATATGAAATCTACTTATAATTTAAAGGTTTATTTCAACAAATAAAGCAATTTAATTATAATACTAATATTTAATTATATAATCGAAACCTAAAAATTCATTTTTGTAGCTAATATTTAATATATCACTACTATTTAATAATGTGGGGTGGGTACGGGGACAGGTCTACAGGGCGGGTCTACGGGGCGGGTATAGGAAAACCCGACCCCGTACCCGTACCCGGTAAAAAAAATAATTCAATCCCCATAGCTGCCCCATTTTTTTTGGGAGCGGGTAATACCGAAATTTTTTAGGTGGGTCGGGGTGGGAATCCATCGGGGCGGGTCAAATTGCCATTTCTACGAGCCATGTATTTGTGCTACTAGCTATCTTCTCTTTTCTCAACCCTAAACCTAATCATGCCTTTTTTTTCTCTCAAACATCGATCACCGTTGGCATGCAACCTCCGGACAGCGGTCCGGCGAAACCGAAGGATTAAGGACTCCATAGGGTCTTCTCACAATGGCACGTCTGCACAATGTCCCACTTTAGCAAATAAGGTTCACAGGTAAGTAAAAGACTAAAATACTTCTTCTTATTTTAATATATTTCAATTTCACCCCTTCAACTCCAATTTTACCTTACTTTAACCATAATTTCATTAATTATTCAATTTTGAGTCTTTAACCCCTATTTGCCATTTGCCCCATAAATAAAAGAAAAAATAATGTATATGGCAAATTTTCCCCTACATTTTAAACTCAATTCTTAATTATAACTCCAATTTAATCAATTTTGACTTTTTTTTTTATAATTTTTTTTTTCTGAAATTCTTGATTTGCCGCCGGTTTCCGACATTGAAACTTTTTTTTTCCTGTATGCGTTTTGAGTTGTTGATCGATTAACGTAATAATATTACTGTCTATTATTGTAATATTACTACAAACACATTTAATATTACTGTGGTTGACGGTAATATTATTGTTGTTACAATAATATTACTGTGGATGACAATAATATTACTGTCAACCACATCAATATTAATTTTTTTGGCCTTTTATTATGTTTGCCTTTGTTGAACGAACAACATATTATAATTTTCTTATTACACAATAATCATGATTATATTTTTGTTATGTTAATATTACTGTGCTAGAGACTAATAGGTTAGATTGACTAAATAATAGGAGTTAATAGGACGTTTGCTTGGTAAGATTCAAAATTCTTCCAGCCCGCTATTAAAATGAAAGCCCGCTACTAGATCCTATTATCTCAAAAATTTAATCGCAGCTTCTCCCCTCTGATTAATTTAGTCGATACTGACTAGGAAGGGAAAAGACAAAATCACCCTAAAAATATTCTATAAATTACAGATCTCCTCTCGACTAAACCCTAAAAAAAATTCTGAACGATTATTCGGAGAACAGGCGGGAGAAAGAAGAACAGGCGGGAAGAAAAGCTTGAAGAGGCAAAACACGTATAACAGGCCTATCAATTGTTGGTGAGTTTTTGAAGTAGTTTTTGTTGCAACATATCTTTTTAATTGAAAAGGAACTTTTTTTATGGATTTTTGTTTTCGATTCAAAGAGCAATTACAAACTAAATTGATATAGACACAAGTATATTTAATTAATTGAAACTAATTTTTGTGGATGTGCTTGTGTTATGTGAACGAGATAGATCAAATTTTATAGGGGAGTAATTTTCGTTTGATGTGTCTGGAAGATTTTATTGGGGAGTAGTATTATGTAATTTTCTTTTGTGTACAAACAAATCAAAAATTGATTGTTTTGTTTGTCTAAAATTTGATGCTCGTAATAAGGAAATTAAATATTATTTTATATTGTTTCAGATTTGTAGAACACTTTAGAGATTCTTGTTTTTTGCGAATACCTCTCTGAATACTTTAGATTTGTTATTAATTGTCTTTGTATCAAATTTATGTGTGGAACAAGTAAGAAAGAAAGCAATAAGCTGCTGATATTATTTGTCCAATTTTATATTCTTGTTATTGTTAATATTGCAGTCACAAACTGTTTTCTGCAAATTCGTGTACAGCTTTAACTAAAACAATGGACATGCGTATGAAAGTGCAAATCATGGTCGTACTACACCAACATCTCTTTCGTACTACTATCTTCTTGTTTTTTCTTGTATTGTCCATAATTTTACTTAAAGATGGTCGGACTCCAAGTAATACACGTAAGAAACGAAGGAAGTATAGTATTATCGAAAAAATACCCGATCAAGTAAAAGAATTGCGGCTATTGGTTTTCACTAGTAATACACATTGCATTAACCAAACAAGAATGGATATAAATGCCTTCGTGAAGTTGAGTTACCTCTTGCAACATGTTGGTGGCCTCGAGCATTCTAGATTTGTATCTGTGCATGAACAAGTTGCCTTATTTCTTCAAGTACTAGCCCATCATAAAAAGAATCGAATAGTTTCATATGACTTTAAGAGATCCGGCCAAACTGTAAGCAAATACTTCAACAAAGTGCTTGCGGCACTACTTAAATTGCATCCGATTCTACTTGTTACCCCTAAACCGATTGGTGATGCCGAGACAAATGAAAATTGGAAACATTTCAAGGTAAATAACTGTAATTTTTCTTTATATTTTACATCCTTGTATCCCATTTTATGCAAGGGGCAGTGCCAAACTAAACTCTCATTTGTATATTTATGATAGGGTTGTCTTGGAGCTGCGGATGGAACCTTTATAAAAGTGAGAGTTGAACTCACTGAGAAGCCCAAGTATAGGTCAAGAAAAGGAGAAATTGCAGTTAATGTTCTTGGTGTATGCGATAGAAACTGCAATTTTATTTATATATTATCCGGATGGGAGGGCTCTGCTGCGGACAGTCGTGTTCTTCGTGATGCCGTTATGCGTCCGAATGGTTTTAAAGTACCATCAGGTATTATAAATTTGACACCCATTATTGAAATTCATCATAATAAATTATTCAAATAAATACCTAGTAAAATTTCAAATCTAACTTTATTTTTCTTGATTTTGTTTTTATCAGGTAATTATTATTTATGTGACGGTGGCTACATGAACACTACTGGATTCTTAACGCCATATCGGGGTATAAGATATCATTTGAAAGAATGGGGTGAAGGTAGAGCGACACCTCAAAATTTTCAAGAATACTTTAATATGAAACATAGTAGAGCGAGGAACGTAATAGAGAAAGCTTTTGGATTACTGAAAACACGATGGGCTGCTTTACGGAGCAATACTTTCTACCCCATCAAAGTCCAAAATCGCATTATCATGGCTTGTGCACTCGTGCATAATTTTATTAGAACTAACATGGAGATAGACCCTTGGGAATTGGAAGTCGGTGATATCTTCCATGGAAACGAAGATGATGGTTTCATTTCAAGTCTTGATCCTTCTGTTACTTGGAACAATTGGCGTGACAACCTAGCAAACGATATGTTCACTCAATATAGGCATCGCCGAGGAGCATAAACTTAGAAATATTTGAAGTGATGAGTACTTGAACATTTGAGACACATTCCATTGTGCTTTTGGATTATGTTTTTCATTTATGGATTATGGTGTCAGTTCTCTTACTGAACATTATATTTATTATATGTGTTTTTAGGATATTATTGACTACTGTAAGACAATGTTATCACATTCTTGATTACTTCCCATTTTCTTAATATTGTGTGTTTACTACGTGTTAAACTTGTGTATATTAATCTTTTATACTGAAAATTATTTCTAAATTTATATTTTTCTAGTTTTTATTTTAACAGAGAAATGGAGGCATCAATGAGTAACTCGGGAAATGGACTATCAAAGGGGCGCAATGCACAAACACGTAGACACTGGACTCGTGAGGAAGAAGACGGGTTGATTGCAGAGTTGAAAGAGGTGATAGCGAGAGGCATGAAAGCAGATAATGCTTTCAAAGGTGGATACTTGCCAATGTTGGAGCGTGGATTAGCCAACCGTTTTCCTACGGCCAACATTCGTGGAGATCCTCATATCCAATCAAAATTGCAAGTATGGAAAAAGACTTATGGTTATGTTTATGGGATGCTGGATACTAGCGGCTTTGGATTCAATGAAGAAACAATGATGGTTGTTTGTGATGACGATGTTTGGGACAAATATGTACAGGTGAAGCTCTTTTCTATTCAATATTAACATAATAGTTTTTATTTACTCAATGTCTTTGTTTTTTTTTCTATATTTGTCATCAACCTTGTCAATAATCCCTTGTGGATGTTAATTATCGTACAGGTGCATCCGGAGGTTAAGAAGATGCGATACAACTCGTATCCGTATTATCCTTCGTGGCAAGAGATATTTGGAAAATCGAGAGCAACTGGTGTAAATGCACAGGGATTTGCGGAGGTGGTCCATGATTTATTGAATGATAGAACCGATGTCGGTAGAAGCAGGAATCGTGAAAAATTACCAATGCCGGAATATGTTAGCATACCAGTTGAAGAGGAAGAATACAATGGCGATGCATTACCAGTTAGCCCTCCGATGTGTGGTGGTAGTGATACAAAGAGCAAAGCAAGTGGCTATAAGAAACGCAAGGTTTCTGAACTTACTTCTGTAGTACAACCCATTGTCAATATGATGAGTACATTTATTTCTGACTCAAAAGAGGCTCTTGGAGACCTCAACAAGCGACTCGGAGTGGAGCACGATGCTTCTATGGCAAGGAAGAAAGTTTTTGACGCCCTTGCAACCATTCCTGGCCTCTCAATAGACAATCAAATACTGGCGGCAAATAAACTTGTGACTCCACATATAGTATGGATCTATTCTTTAGCATGCCTGATGA